CCACAGCACCTTCAGCTTGCCACTCATAACTTCATACACAACCCTGTCAGTGGCACACTGCCTGGCCTCTCAGAACTTCTTCTGAAATCTGAATGGAAGTCTTCCTGACACCACAAATCTTGCATTCGCTATTGACCTCAAACTGGCATAAAGGGGATGACACTAGGATCTCCTGATAGCTGGAGCAGCACTAGACTTCCTTCTCTCTGGGCAATAGTAATCCATTGCCTATGAAACAAATCCCTAAGCCACCAGCATTTGGCTTTGTTAAATTCTTTTATAGCCCTGGATACCAGCCTTCCTAATGCTTCCTTTCATGGCAAATTACTTTTCTGGGAAAACTGTGCATTCATACACAAATATGTGATGCTGGGCTAGTAGACTATTGCCTGATACTACCTGCAGGAATCAAGTGCACAGAAGAACTGAAGAAGACAGGGAAGGTGTGGAGACATTTAGGATGCAAGCTAGGGTGAGTTCTCCAAGACCTGAGGTAGGAGTAATGATGATCTTGGTCTCATTGGCCAGAAATCACACTCCTGAGTATATGTGAAAAAAACACTAATTAACATGCCTGATATATGATGTATGTGTTAGAAAGCTTAGCCTACATAGAATCTATACAGGTAATGTTCAGAGACTCTTTTTCATAGTAACACTGGAATGACCCCACAGACAATATCATTAAATTAGATCAATAATTGTGACATCATTATGCAATGGAATATTCAGAATCATTCATAAAAAGGAATGAAACACTAAACATAGATCAGTGCCAAGAAAATATGATGTGAAGTGAAAGAATTCAGCCTTGGGAAGTCACATGTTGTAGATTCCATTGACATGGACTATGCAGAATAAGCAACTCCATGGGAACAGCAGATTCATGATTTCCAGCACTGGGACACAGAGAGTAAGGGGTGCAACTGTTGGTCTGAAGGGGGTTTCCTTTATGGGTCACTAAACTATCTGGAAATGAATAATGATGATGGTTGCACCACGTCGTGAACACAATAAGCATCAGAGGTAGTAAATACTGTAGTATGTATGCTATGACAATTTTTAACAGAATGAGGCTATAGAAGATTGAAATAACAGTATTAACATATCCACATCACTTTTATACATATAAGTGTACAACCAACCAATATAGGTACACTTTATGGTGAACAATGTCCAAATCTCTGCGACAGGAGAAGGTGACGTCAACATGAAGGCATATCCAGAGCTCTGCTATCTCTCTGCGGGTGTTTTGGCCTCATCATGTAGACCCCAGGAGACTCCCCCAGTCTCTTACTGAGTACTGAATTTTCAGATGCGCCCTACAGTATGTAGTCCGGGTTTAGATTTTCTGACGTTACACCTTGGATCCCAGACAGGGGCATCAGAAGCCTAAAGTGTGAGGCTCTGACGTTGGGGTTCCAAGTCTTGATATAAACCCAAAAACCTTGAGTCTGGAGTCTGTGGCCTGAATGAAGAACATTCAGTATAGGTTCTACATCATGTAACCTGATGACAGGGGAAAGTTGCAGGAGCCTCAAGCTCAAAAGCTCAAAACAGGAGGGAGATCAGCCAGGAC